CAACAAAGAATGGAGACGGCTGTGTCCTGGTTATGATGAGTGTAGAAACTTTTTTGAATGTTTTGTTTTTTGGAAAATCCCTCCATGTTTATATATTTTTGTTATGACATGACGGACTCTTTCTGTTGACATTTTGGTATTTTATTTGATTCCATTTTGAGATTTTATCATTGTATATTGTTATTATTTCTATATATGTACTTATATTGAAGTTTTTATGTTTGTTCTTCTGAACTGTAGACATGTTGTTTAAATTTGATATAATATGGCTACAGCCACTTTTTTGATTTGATATCGTTGCAGTATACGAGTTTTCACCTATCTCTGGAACCTGGATACTCAGCAGAGTAATTTCGAATTAAAAGACGTAAAAATCGTTAGTCACTTTCTCTGGAATTATTGTGTTTTGATATTCAAAAAATGCGATTGAAGGTTGTATTATAATGGATCCACAAGCGGGATATAAGAGAGCTAAGGCTATCCTAAAACAGCTCTTTGGACAGTCGCATGTAATAGCCCGGGAAACCTTAGAGGACTTGTTTAGAACCGGGAATGCAGATTTTAATGATCCTGAATTATTGACGAATTTGGCTATTAAAATGCAGAATGTTGCTCTAACCTTAGAACAGTTAAATTGTACAACAGAACTTAATTCTCTGGTTACTTTAGAACGAATAGTTAGGCTCTTACCTCATCGAATGCAAGCCCAGTGGGCAGAGCTGGGAATCAAGTGGGACGAAGAGGAAAGAGAACCTAATTTCAATGAATTGACGGATTTTATTATGTCTCGTGCTAAGATAGCTAGTAGTAGGTTCGGAAGATTAGCTAATCGTGCTAAAACAGGACATGGTACGGACGCTATTAGTGATCTGCGTGCGAGACATGAGGATTCTTCGTTTACACCTAACTCACACCCGGAATTTAAGAGAGTTGTCAATTGTATCAGAAAAGTATACCACGTTGAAAACCGAGTATGTGACCGCGATGATTTAAAACCCCTTGATGCGTATCCCAGTAAGAAGCCGGTTTGTGTAACAGATAAGATGGCTTTTTTAAGTATGGAAAAGAAAGAAAAAGGCGAAAAGGGTAGGCATCAGGATGGATCCGAGGTGTGTGATGGCAAAAGCCTCCTAACTGCTCGAAAAGCAAGAAACGGTTATTTGGATTTGAGCAAACAGAGGTTAGTGAGTTCAGTAAATATGAATCAGGACAAAACAGGATTGGCTGGATGGAATAAAGCCTATGTTCGGAACCCTTCACGTAGGGTAAATTATATAACGGGACCTAGAGTTGATTCTAGGACAACAAGTGTAAACCGTGACACGGCACTTCATTTTGCTGAGCAATCAGGATGTCTGCAGGCTACTATATCTAGTTCTATAGAGCATCATGATATTAAAGCGGAAGATATTAGCAGCTTGGCGCGTCCTGTTGATGTTTGTTTACGGTCAACTAATGGACAGTTGTATACTGGTCCAAGTAGTCATAGCAACATTGATAGTGTTAGTGAAAGTGGTAGCATAGCTTTAAAGCTTGCATGCCAACTATCTTGCAACTTGTCATTAGCTATGAATAGTCAGAACATCATTGTGGACAATAATAAACGTGATGGTAACGATAGTGGAATCACTACAGGTAGTGCTGTTTCTTCGGTTGATGTTGCTAATGTAGCTTCCTTGTGTACTTCGAATCAAGACGAAATTGGATGTTTGAGCGTGGAGAATATAAGCGTCGGTGGCAATAGCTTAAGCCACAGTGATGGCAGTACTGAGAAGGCTAACATTGGGTATCCTAGGTGCAATGAGGAGTCATCTAGGTTTCATGGACATGCTGTTGTGTTGAATATGCAGCATGAGGAAAAGAGCACGGCATTGTTCACCTGTCGCACTTCACCATCATTGACTTGTACTACAAGTATCGGGATGAGCACTACCAACAGCGATAAGATAGATAAGGCTAAAAACATTCCTAGTAAGGAGAGCAATGTTGATCGAGCAGAGTTAGCCACTGTGCATGAGTCGACTGGATGTCATGAGAAATGTACTGATGCTTGTACAATTGCGGCTATTAATGATACTCCTGCGAGTAATAGTGATCGATGGGAGTTGAAAGACACTCATCGTCGTCGAAATGATCGTACGTTACGCTCACATGCTGCTACCCAAGCTAAGAAGCATAGGAAACAACATGATGCTACTATTATTAAGAAGCCTAAACTTCGTTCTCTTTCGGATGCTATGACCAGCAATGGAAATAGTAGTCATCAGAATCTTAGTAGTGACAGCGATAGTAAGGAGACAGAAAGTGTGAGCAGTCCACCTATAGTGACTAGTCGATCAACTTCATCGAACGAGCCTTCTAGTGTTTTGACGTCATCGGACCTTGTCGCGAATGTTAAGTTGATTGAGGATACACAAGGTTGTGTAACTTTATGTGTTCCTACTTCGGTTGACTGTCAGTCAAATGATGATGAGAAGGAAGCGTCTGATGCTAACAGCCAGTCTACAGTGTTGCATGATAACGATGCTATTGACGTGCATATGTCGTGTGTCTCTGAAACGGAACATGAAGAACAACAAGTGAGTTTATCGGTTTTGGATTGTGACACTTATGCTGTTCTTTCATGTAGAGAGATGAGTTATACCACAATGGAAGAGTTCCACTCTACGGATGCTAGTGCAGACCGAATCGACGCGACTTGTCTGACACAATGGAATCATGATGACGTTGATAATAATCTGGATGTCACTGATGTGACAAATGAGTTGCCGACGATGAAGAATGCTGATCAAACCTCCTCTGTATCAGGAGATGGAGAGATAAATATTGGTCCCATGTTATGCCACTTAAAGTCTTCGGGAGACGAGGAAATATCAAAATTAGAGATCCCACCCTTGCATATTATCTATGGGTCAAGAATTTCTGTTGATAAGTCAGCATCACAGACTTCATTGTATCTGCTGTCCGGAGCAAGTGGTGGTGGAATTGACAACTCATCCCCATGATATGGAATGTAGATCCCGGATAGGATATGACCAGCCTAACGACGTGTTGTACATGTTCATGTGGGTTAATTGGATAAAGTTTATACTACCGTTAGGTAGGGGAATCAAGGGCCTGATGGGAAGGTACAGGTACCTAATTAGCTTGATAGGTCATATCCATGTTGGAGGGCGGGTAGGCGTACTGCTGTAAGTCCTACTCGTTCTTCCGGTGTGGATTAGGGAATGAGAGGGAACCCTAACTTGAAGTGTCAGTAAACGCTTGCCTTTTTGCATGGAGGGATTTTGCGGGCCGGTGTAGAAACTTTTTTGAATGTTTTGTTTTTTGGAAAATCCCTCCATGTTTATATATTTTTGTTATGACATGACGGACTCTTTCTGTTGACATTTTGGTATTTTATTTGATTCCATTTTGAGATTTTATCATTGTATATTGTTATTATTTCTATATATTGTACTTATATTGAAGTTTTTATGTTTGCTTCTGAACTGTAGACATGTTGTTTAAATTTGATATAATATGGCTACAGCCACTTTTTTGGATTTGATATCGTTGCAGTATACGAGTTTCACCTAGTCTCTGGAACCTGGATACTCAGCAGAGTAATTTCGAATTAAAAGACGTAAAAATCGTTAGTCCACTTTCTCCTGGAATTATTGTGTTTTGATATTCGAATAACGGAGGGTGCGTCCAACATACGTCTATTGGTAGAAAATCCAACTACAATGAGTGTTTTTACTGAATGATGCAATTCTTATTCCACAAAATATTTCACGAACTTTGCTGGCCAATCGGTTTCATATGAATTCCCCTTTCTCACAGCATTTTTATTCAAACACAACATTAGGAAACACTCTTAAGAAATTCTGCTAAGTTCTAGGAGCCTGGAAGCGCTTTGAATCGAACTACTCGTATGGTAATGACTTCATAGGAAGAACGTACAAAACCTTCGAAGTCCTGTTACAACTGTAGGTTGGTGGTTTGTGGGCTGAATGCTATGACTATGTGGTGCCATAATGTCTCTCAGTTTATTAAATATCAGTGTATCTATCGAATGGATTCATGGCCATGATCTAATTATACCCGAAGAGATACGGATATCTGTGCCAACTCATAAAGACCAGAAGCATGCACTACTTTGTAACCATCACATTCAGCTTATTGAACAGTCGAAACCAACTCCTACATTATTATTATTACTTACAATGATCGAAGGGATACCTATGACCGACAAGCTAGCTGTCCAGTGTATACAAAAATGGTCTTCTTTTTCGATCATACTTCTTCGTTACATCATCAAGGACATACACCTAGTCCCACCATTCTTTGGGAGTCCATTCAAGGGTATGTACATACGACTGCCTACTACCCTCCCACACAAGACTTTCATAGGTCTCAGAATGACAGCGTAACAATAAACTATTACAAACTAAAACCGAATCAAGTGACAGCTCATGTGCATATGCCGTGTTTTACTCCCTGCCAGACATCAATCACTTTGACGTCCTGTCGGCAATAAGCAATGAGCTCCCAGGAGCACATCTAGGCATTAAGGATAATATCTCACGGAAGGAAGTAATGATTTCAGGGTGACAAGACAATAATTTTTAATCTTGGTGACACTAGAAACTGAAAAACGGTGAATGAGAAGTGAGTGATCCCTTCATAAACTGAAATTACGATATGGTATGTAAAGAAGTGAATCGTGAAAACTTTTGAGTGAGCTTTATTAGCTGCTTGGTTATTTTTTAAAAACACAACTTTCCGGGATGACAATCTGATTTCTTCTTTCGTGGCTGCCTACAAGCTGCTATTTATACGGAGCTGTTTCAGATTCTTCCCAATATCTGGTGGATAACTGTAGCATTTTTTTACAAGTATTCATATTCACTTTGAAATTATAAATTTTTAGTTAAATCAATAGTTACTTTTCTCGATTTAGATTAGCATGTAAATTCATGTTATGATTGAAGTTTGAATTGTTACACCCGTCAACTGTTTGACGCATTCGGTACGTCTTTATGTCTTCGGTAAAGATAGTTTTTCAATGTTGCATGTCTGCCAAGCTATTAATCGAAGGCGGTGTTTCAGAGACAACCATCGGAAAAGGTCTTGTAGTTTATGTTGTTTTCCTTAAAGATTGTTCAGATGAAGTTTTGCATAAAATTGCTGAAACAATTTGTACAGTACGTCTGATATCTGACGATAATGACAAACTACAATCAGTGGTTGATAGCCCTTGTGACTTACTAATTGTTCCTCAGTTCTGTTTATCTGGGAAGTTAAAAGGCAAATGTTTCCAATATCACACTGCTGTCTCAAAAGCCATTGCCGAGTCGCTATACTCACGATTAGTTAGATTCTGTGATACGATTTTAAAGAATAGCGCTACATGGTTATCTAAGTCTTGTAAACTTTCCTATGGAACGTTTGGAACTCGTCAAATTCTAAGTCTAGAGACTAATGGTCCTTTCACTCATGTTGTTGAGTTGTAATCTGTACATGTCTTTTAAATGACCTGATTTAACTTCCCACTATGTATTATTCTTTTTTTATAGTAGAATTTAATTATTTGTAAATTTTTCTTAACGTAATATGATCGAAATAACGTGCAATGACAGACTTGGTAAGAAAGTACGCATTAAATGTAACCCAACCGATAAAGTTGGCGATCTAAAAAAGCTGATTGCTGCACAAACTGGAACCAACTGGGAGCGTATCGTACTAAAAAAGTGGTACACGATTTTTAAGGACCATATAACACTTCAGGATTATGAAATCAATGATGGAATGAACCTTGAGTTGTACTATCAATAATTTGTGTTCAGAACTGGTTCATTTTCTGTATATTTCAAATACAAATTTTTCATTCACCTCTTTTTTTTCGAAACAATGTGCAGGCAGTCTTTTTTTGAAAGGTTCGCTTACGACTTGCCACAGGGACACAAAAACAGTAAAATATACTAGGCCTTACAGCTATATGGTACAATTTCGGTGGATTACTTAAATTGATGTGATAGTAAATCGCTTCATAAAATAAAGGTGAGTTTTTTTCACTATGTATTCGATCAGCTACTGGCTTAAACTGCGGGGTAGAAGAGCGTAACAATTTCAAAACTCCTATTCAAAGGCGAAAATCACAATCTATCTAGTTCTACACGAATTCCGTTAAGCATTCAGTTTTTGTGCACAAAAGGCTGTTACTATTTAAATTGACAGTAATATCGCTATTTTGTGGTGCATTGCCGCGATGCTAGATGGTATTAATTGCCGCACACGGTTGTTTTAAGTCGAGCTTTTTGTATGGCTGGCGACAGAGCTATCTGATTTTTCAAGTTTTAGGGGGATTATGGCCTAACTACAGAGTTATCACGTGCGAAACACCTGATTTTGATGATTAAGCTTTCTTTGGAAGCTAAATTGCTTATTGCTAAGGTATTCTCCCTCATTTAGAGGGGTCTCAATAAAATATTGTGAAATTTTTTGTAACTTGAAATCTAGAATTGTTCCATGTTTTGGTTTTATTCCACTAGCTGTATCGTGGTTTTAGTCTCTAACCTGTTCATCTTTCGAAATATGGCGTCTGCTGAATATGATGACATATTCTGAATCTTATCAAATAACTCGAATCAAACATTCAATTATAATTTACTGTGTAAATATTCATTACATTCTTTGCACTCTTCAAGTTCGATAATAAAATAGTTTCCTATTCTCGATTGTCCTAAAATGAGAACAACCTCCAACCGCTTGTTGATCGCCTTGCTAACCTCATGTAACTCTGTGTTCGTATTCTCGAACTTATATTTTTCAAACCAACCATATGGAAGACAAAATTGAAATATTCGGAATCTGTTTGAACTTCTCGACCGTAGCTGCTACCTTGACGTAGTGGTCGGGCTTGCCGATTGTGATGACCCAACCGAGCTATATTGGCTGGAACATATGTTCCTGAAGGTTCTACCATGCCAGGCAGGTCGATTGGAGAACGATGAGACTAAAAGCAGCCACTCAAGGTCTAAGGGCGAAGTCGTTCTGCTGACTGTAGAGGGGTGTGACAGCAGTAAGGTGTTTCCCTCGGAAAACTAGCATCTGCAGCGATGTGGCCTTCTCACAATGTAGGAAGAATTAGAAAATGTCGACCCTAAAATGTCACACCTCACCCTAATTCACGGATTTCCGTCTCCGGAAGTAAAAGCTACGCAATAAGGGCTTTCAAGAGCTGAGCTAATACTCTAAAGACCTGTCATAAAAAGGCCGTGTGTGACCGGCCTCAAGCAGTTGTCCCTTGGGCTCCGCGGTCACGCTCTCTGGTCGTTAAGACCAGCTCTAAATTACTTTCTATTTTTCTTCAAGAAAAATTCTTCCACTGTGTGGGCAGCCGGGGATTGACATCCGCCCTCATACCCATAAAAGCACACGAGACCACATTGGTCACAATCAAATCCTTTCTAAACCTCTTAATAACTCTCTTATCTCCTCGATCGACCCTTTCGATCGTTTATCACCTCACACCACTGAAGCAAACGGCATGAGCTCTGGAAACATTATTCCTGGTCTCTTGAAACCCCGTACTAAAATACTTATGGCAGCTTTTAATGTTCGGAGCCTATGCCAAATAGGGCAACAGTCTTCATTAGCTAGAACTCTGAAATCCCGAGCGGTCGATGTATGTTGCGTCTCCTAAACGCACATACAAGACTCAAGTAAAACCATCAATTTGATCTCATCTAGTGCAGATAGAGGCACAACAAGATTCACGCTTCGTGTTTCTGGAAGCCTTGATGCCGCTTCTCGTGACCTCGCCGGCGTAGGTATAGTATTAAGTCGTAGGGCAGAATTAGCTCTCTTAGACTGGATCCCGATAGAAGTCGCACAGGCGCAGTCCAATTAAACGGGACAGTACGGACTCGGGAAAATAGGGACACTCGCCATTGCCTCTTCGTCGGATCTGCCTATGCTCCCACTGACTGCAGTTCAGATGATATGAAAGATAAGTTCTATAGAAACCTCTCTAAACTTATCCAAAATGTTAAGCGCTCTGATATAGTAATAATGGCTGGTGACTTCAATGCTCAAGTAGGTAGACTCAGCGAAAAGGAAAGACACCTGGTTGGATGCTATGGTATCGTGGCTAATAAAATAGATAATGGTGACCGTCTGTTGCAGCTATGCTCAGATAACCGCCTATTCCTGGCAGACAAAAAAAGGCTGTGGAAACAGCAGTGATATCTTCTACTAAGGTAAACAATAAGGTTAGGGAGAAGCCGTGGATTTCATTAGCATCTACGGAACTGATGGATGCTCGAAATCTCATCCCTCCTGGCTCTGCGCACGTTGAGGAGCGGAGTCAGCTCAGGCGCAGGCTGATAAAAAGCCTTCGCAATGATCGAGAACAGTGGTGGGTAGCGAAAGCAAGGGAGATGGAAAAGGTAACGGCGATGGGCAACAGTAGGCAACTATTCAGACTTATCAGGGAAACCGGTATTAGGAACCCGAATGTGAGTGAGACTATTTCGGAAAAGGATGGTCTTATTATTCATTTTCAATCCAGGAGACTGGACCGATGGGCAGAACACTTCAGGGAGCAGTTCAACTGGCCTTCATCCACATTTCGGTTACCCACGATATCCAGTTATCCTGAATGGGTGGTGGTCCAGTTCTAGCAGCTACATTGACTGAGATCTTAGGTAGAATTTGGGAACTGGACGTAATCCCATCCGACTGGTCTCAATCCCCGATTTTCCCAATTTATAAGAAAGGACAGAAGTCTTCTTGTGACAATCACAGAGCAATCAGTCTAACTAAGATAGTTTCTAAATTGTTAGCCTCGATAATCCTTGGACGTCTAACTGAAGCTCGTGACGAGCAGAATAGAGAAAACCAGGCTGGTGTCAGACCTGGACGTGGATGTATAGACCACACCTTCACACTACGACAGGTCCTGGAACACAGACGCACATTTAGGTGTCCGACAATAGTTGTCTTCCTAGACCTTATGGCAACATTTGACTCAGTGGATCGTGAGGTTCTGTGGCAGTGTCTGTCATTGAAAGGTGTACCGTAGAAGTACATTAACCTTATACCAGCTCTCCACTCGAACACTACAGGTCGATTGAGAGCTTTTGGCGAACTGTCATCGGAATTCTTTGCTTCAGGTGGTGTCCGTCAGGGATGTCCACTTTACTCATTCTTGTTCAATTTTGTCATAGACATGCTGCGAGGTATAACGTTATGTCCGTCTGGATTTTTAGGAGTCGACCTTCTACCAGGAGATTCATTGGTTGACTTAGAATATGCCGATCACATAGTTCTATTTTGTGAAGACGCTGACAAAATGCAGAGTCTTCTGACTACCCTAAGCAACAATGCAAGCATGTTCGGGATGCGGTTTTCCCCTCGAAATGAAAAATGTTGCTTCAAGATTGGGTCGCTTCGGTACCTGAACTAGTGATAGGGATGTAAAGTAGTTGAGCTTGTACACCGCTTCACGTATCTGGGGATTTTCATCAGTGCTGATGGCGTAGTGACTGACGAAATCCCAGCATGGATACAGAAAGCTCGATTGGCTTTTTCCAACTTGCATCACTTATGGCGTAGGCGAGATATCCGTTTGCTGACCAAAGGACGAGTGTACTGCGCAGTAGTTCGCTCCGTCCTACAATACGGATGCCAAAAATGGCTGGTGAGAGTAGAAGATATTCGTAGGTTACTGGTTTTCGATCACAGATATCTTAGAAGCATTGCTCGAGTATCGTGGGACAACCGAGTAAGCAATAGTCAGTCAGTTACAACTTCGAACTTCGTACGTAAGTACGTCAGTTCATGTTGCCATACCACATCAGCACAGAGACGCAACTGTCAGTTCAAATCCAATAGTGGTAGCGATAGTAGAAGTATTAGCAGAAATGGAGAAGATTAGGGAGCGAAGATATGATTCGAGAAGTATAATTCAGTGAGATAAATGTAGAAAGCGAAAGATAGAGATGATGAGGAATCCAGAAGGTTAAGATTTGAGAGAACACAAAGAGTGGATGCACCTGCACCATTGCAAACGGTTTTGAGCCATGTCGTCATCGGTCACTAACCATTGGTGACCTTCGTCTCGCGGACCCCAACCAGGTAGCCTACATCTGCTAACGTGACTCAGTCCACTTGTCAGTGACCTCATGGATTTGTGCGCCACCTAGTACTCGCTTCCTAACTATACCATTGCTTACTCATCGGGATACCCATCTTTTCCGACACGGGAAGTCTCGTTACCTTATGTCAACTTTTTCGGATTATCTTCTCCACAGAATGTCTGCTTGTTTATCAAAGGTTCATCATCAGTATAAACTATATTGTACAGCAACAAAATATGAGATAATTATTGGCATGCTTTTTCCAAATATTTAGGTCAAATAAAAATTTATTTCTTTGCTACATTTTTGTTCTGAAAACAACAAGTAGTTTTGAGTGTAATAAGGAACTGACTACTTTCACTTCGAAAGGTAACTGTTCTGTATATTTACTGAGATAAGTATAGATGCCACAGAGGTAGTATTCAACGCGACGTGACAATGGAATAGTCAGTAGAATAAAAATGGCTTTGTATTGCATGAATAGTTTGTTCAGCGGTTGCACTAATAAAATCAGAAAGTAATTTGGTTGTTTTACTATAAAATCATAACAAAATAACTAGATTATCACTTTCTCCAAACTGAGTATAGTATCTAATGGCGAAATATAAATAACAAGATATGCATGTATCTAAAATATTGGATGTTTTTCTTGGACAGCATCCTTGAGTGTAGAAAATAGCTACAAACGAGCCTTGTCTGAAGGAATTCACTTCAGCATCAAAGTTAACTCAATAAGCACCGAAAAATAC